CTTGCAGGGCACTGAACTGTTTCATCTCAACTCAGGACTTACGGTAGGGTGGATTTAGGTCAGACACGAGGTAGAACTTCCTGATTTAGGAGGATGATCAATTGATGAGACTGAGCTTCTATTGCCACATATTCTTCTCCTCCTCCCATGCTCCACCCCTAGGCCTTTCCCAGCCTCCTGACCAGATCCCTCCGACTTTAGCGAGACCCCCTCCCTTCCTCTGGGTGTTCACTACCTGCCCATTTTGGGGGTCTCTGGATGTCCTCCCAGGGACCTCATGACACTGACACTTCTCTCCCAGCCTCCCTGTTCTGGCCCAGGAGTCCCCTTGGCCATTTGGGTCTGAGACCTCTCCTCGCGGCCCCCCACCTCCAAGCCTCCCTCCCTTTCACAGCAGGCCCCGCCCACTCGCAGGTCTCCAGCTACCTCTGTGCGGTTTCAACCTCTCCTTGCGTCTCTTGTGCTCCCTGCCGCGTTTCTTCACCCTTTCTGACCCTGGAGACCGGTTCTCCTCCTCAGGGTAGGGCAGTGTCAGCCCCAGCAGCAGATTCTTGTCCTGCAGCAGGCCTGCAGGACTCTGTCCAGGCAGCAGCCCCCCTGCCCCTGGCAGCCTGGAGGCCTGCCTGGTGGCAGTGACCACTGCCCCGTCCCAGGCCCGGCCCCGCTCCTTCTTGCCCAGGCCCCGACGGCGGTGGTGGCTGGCCTGAGGCATCCACAGTGCTGGGCCTGGGAGGTCGATGTGATTCTCAGGGAGGTCCTGAGCAGGGCTTCCAAGTCCCAGGGAATCTGCCAGACTCAGGTCCAGGAGCAGCAGGAGGGCGAAGAACAGCATGGGGGCAACGCGCGTGGCGGGCCCAGCCATGGGCCCTTCCCTGCAAGAAAAGTAGCACTAATGTTGGGGGGCGGGTGCAGCTCTGCAGCCCTCCTCGTCCCCACTCCCCAACCCCCTCCCCCGTACTATTATAGCCCAGTGTTTCTCAACAGGGATGGAGGGGACTTTAACCCTCAGGGGACATTTGGCAACATCTAGAGATATTTTTGGTTGCACAGAACTGTCCCCCACATCAGGGAACACTGCCCCCGAAAGACCGCAGTGCCGAGGCTGCGAACCCCTGGGTTAAATGTCTGAGCAGCGCCCAGGTTCCAGGTTAGTCTAGAATTCCTTTCCCTGCAGGGACCTCTGCCTGTGGCCAAGATCCCTGGAATGAGCTGAGTGTCTCCAAGCTCAGAAATAGGTCTGTAGTCCCAGAGACTTGACTCACAGCCTAAATTCAATCTAACAATAGCGTTGGAGCACATGCAGGAATCTTGTTCGGCGCCTTGTGTGAATTTATATCACTTAGCCATTTCAGCACCTCTCTGAAGTGGCTCCTATTGTTTTCTGACACGGAAATGAAGGCTCTGAGAGGTTAAGTCACACGGAGTAGGTGACATTTATGTAACTGCTCTGCCTTTGCTCTGAACCCCTGCGTGCTGTCCCGGGACAGCTCAGCCCTTGCCGTTTCTTTTCCTCCAAGCTCCAGGCGGGTTCTGACACAACACTGTCCCTGCTGGGGTGCAGCGGCCTTTGGAGGCTTGGCTCAGACCCCGCAGGGTGGGGTGAGCACCGCTGACCTCCTGGGGGGACAGCGCCCCCTGCTGTACCGGAAGTGGAGCCTCCTTAGGGGACCTCAGTGCTCTCCCCGGAGGAAGAAGCAGACCCTGGGATGTTCCAAAGGAACTTGGAGGTAAGGCTCTGGAGACCGGTGGCTGGGGGTAGGGGGTATCCCACTCCCTGGGACCCCCTCCCCCACCGCCCTCGCCCCTGCACCAGCCTCACGGCATCCAGACAAGTTGGGCACAAGGTTAGCCAGGCTGATTGAATTTTTATGGCCTCCCCGGGACTCCTGCCTATCCCATTAGGCTTTAAAAGGTGCTTACACAACCGTTTCCTTGTGATTTGTGTCCATGTAATTGCCCAGGGCCACGGAGAGGTTGATGGGCCAGTGGTGACTGCTGGCATCTCCCCCGCTAGCCCCCTCAGTTCTCGTAGCCCCACAACTGGCCATCCCACCCCAGGTCCACCTTTAGCGAACCCTGAACGAGGGGTGCTTGAAATGGGCAGGGAGGGCAGGCTGACCCACTCAGAGAGGGAGGGAAACGGTTCCTCCCTGCCTGGTCACCGGCCACCTGTTATCCTACTCTTCCTCCTGGCCTGCTGTGTCCTGGTCCCCCAGGAGGCCCAGGACCCTGGCCTCCACTGCCCTGGGCTCTGCCCCACCAGCCTCACCCCCAAGCCTTTCAGTAATGAGGGCCCTAGAGGCTGGTGCTCGGCAGCCAGGTGGGAGGAGGGGCCCATTGGAGAGACCTGTCCATCAAGATTGTTCTGCTGCCGGGGACCCCTCCAATCCTACTTCCAAGCCTGAGGCAGACGCCAGGCTGCATTCGCCACACTCCCCCCTCCACTCCCTGTGACTGAGAATGGCTGAATCTATGTTGGATGTTGTCTCCGGTCCAGCCCTGCCCGTCTGTCCTGTGGGGACATCACATCTGTGGCCTGGGAGAAGCCCACAGAGCGCCCCCAACAACGGGAAACCTTTGGGATGTTGGCCAGTGAATGGAATCCCTCCATCTTGGGGTAGAGAGAAGTTTGGCAGGACACCCAAAAAGTGCAGGCAGGAGACCAGATGAAGCTCGGCAGACGGGTCGGGGAGGGCAGACCCACGGTGTCTGTGGGCAGCCTGCTGTCCCGGGGACACACACGAGGTCAGCCAATGACTCAGAGCCCGTCTCTGAGCATGGTGACCAGCCTGGGCACTCGACTCAGAGGACAGCTCTTCCTCTGCAGAGCCAAGAGATGAAGCCCAGCTTCCCAACCCAAGCCCCTCTCCAGCATCATGACCCCACCCATATCTGCCATCTCGCTTTCTCACTGAAGTCCTATTGCCAAGCCCTTGCCAGTGGCCATGGGTCTGTTCATTGTTCCCAGGAACCCCAACTTCAGTGCCATCTTTGTTCCCTCCCTCCCTTCACACCCCGTAAGTCATGTATGCAGCCAGCCCGGGTCAGGGATGGGGGGATTTCAGTATGCAGGCTGAAGCACCCCTCGTGGAGCCATCCCTCTCCCCAGACCTTATCTGCACCATGCTGCCCCCAGACCCAGCCCATACTGCTGCCAGATTACTCTGATCATGCTCACAACTGTCCATGGCTCCCTGCCGCCTTCCCATATAACCACAGACTACCCGCTTTGGTACTCAAGATCTTGTATACTATGGCCCCAACCTAACTTTGCAGCCCTGACTTCTATTTCCTCCCCTTCATGGCCAACAGAGACTGTTCCCTGGGGCTCAAAGATACCCCATCTTTCTTGTCTTTCCGTTCTCGCCGAGGCTGTTCTTTCTGCCTGGAACAACCTCTCCTCTCCACCCCATCCCTCTCTGCCCAAATTCTGCCCAGCCTCTGGGACTCATCCCAAATACGCTGTCCGCCAGAAAGCCTTCTTTAGTCCCCTAATTAGATGCGCTCCCCCCTCGGAGCTCCCACACAGCTTTGTCCAGCTCATTTCCTGCGGGGGCAATCAGCTTTTTCTTTTAAAGTCCCCGACTAGCCAAGAAGATCTGTCCCACTTTCCCCTCCGTTCCTACAGTATCTACAGGACCCTGCAAATATAGGCACTGACAACTATGGATCAGAATAGAAGTGGACTGAGTACAACTGAACTGACACCTGAGCAGACGATCACAAATAAATTCCCAGGGGGTGTGTGTGTGTGTGTGAGAGAGAGAGAGAGACAGAGAGGGGGAGAGAGAGAAAGACAGAGGGAGAGAGAGAGCTGGAGTGAGGGCTGGGGACCCTGACATCTCTTTGCCCCGAAGACTGCACAGAGCCCTCTGTGCAAGCCCACAGGATTTGTACTTGAATCCTGGCACAGCCCAGCAGCCAAGGTGCCAGCCTGGCAAAGAGCCACTCAGGAAACATGGGCTGTTACAGAAGTCGTGCCAAGGAGCCACAGCCATGAGGGCTCCCATCCATTTCTGTCACTCTGGAAGCCAGTTGGAGGCTGCCTGGCAAAGCACCAAGCATACAAGAGAAAAGGGGCAGCAGGTGCCCCACCTCCCTGCCCTGCCTGTCAGCCCTGGATGCGTCTTCTGTGGCTGGCTTACAAAGCCTACTCTTCTGGGCCTGGGTCTGATCCCCCTCAGACTGGGGACATTCAACAGCCTGAAGTCACCCTGGACAACAACCGTCACGGGACATAAGGACCACCTACAGCCTAGATCTAATAGTGACTCACTAAAAACCAAACTAAACTAAAGCAATTGTAATATTAGGGGCTGCCACTCCCTGAGTGTGAAGTCCAGGCTCTTACAAGCTTATTCTGTCCATTTCTTATCGCATCGTCTTAACTGCCCTGCATGGGTCAGGTTGTTCTCCATATTTTTTAAATGAGGGAACCGAGGCTCTGGAAGGGTAAGCCACAAATCCAAGGTGACACTGGTGAGTGGCAAAGAACCACCTCAGGGCCTGGGTTCTCTCTGCACCCATGGCATGCGGACAGTCCTTGAACCCCATTGGGGCGGGGGGCACCCGCCTTCCCCACGTAATCTTCTGCCACTGCTGTGAGTACAGTCAGGGCCCAGGAGGGGGGACCAGGCACTGGCAGCAGGGAAGAGGAAACCGATAAAGGAGGGGAAAGAAGCTTGTTTCATGCCCTAATCCTGTCCCCATACTGTGCAGGGCTGAGCTGCAGGAGCCCTCTCCATCCAGAAGCCTGCAGGGAATCAGGGTCACATGCAAAGGAAGGCAATGAATGGATCCTGGAGACTGCTTTGATTCCTGAGCCCCCTCCTCCTGCAACAGCCTTGCATTTGGGAGCCAGGAGACTAGGGGGGCTCCTGCCCACCTGCCTGGCAGACAACTGTGGAGCTTGGCCACCACTAGGCATCGCAGGACAGCTGTAGGGCCTGAATTCCTGCTTTGCTGGTCAGCTCACCTGCTGCTTGATGGGCTGGCGGCTGGAGAAGGAGGGAGGGAGGGGAGTGGGAGGTGGGAGCAGGGCTGGCTGAGGAGGGTCTGATGGGAATCCTGGGCCAGGGGTATCAGGATGCTCTGATGGAACGGAGGGACTGTGATGCTCAGTCCAGGCTGTGAGCCACTGGGAGAGCTTGACCGTCACCCCCATTCTCTGACCCTGGGTCTCCTCCTTGTGTGTGAAAGTGACAGTTTTGAGTGACTGTATTTGGTAGAGATATTTCAGGGGTTTTCTAACCTCACTTTTAAAAAAACATTTTTAAAACTAGAATAATGACAACAGACACTCTCAAATGCGTTCTCTACCTAATTTTAACATGAGTGCAGCCTCCCCATAACTTGGGCTTCTCCTAGGTCACTGAAAAGTGTTCGAGGGATGCAAGGCGAGCAGTTTAAAAGAACTATTTGCACCTCGCATTTGCATCTATTTATTTACTTGCTCCAGGATTTTCTGGACACGAATGAACAAAGTCTGTGAGAGGCTCAGTCTCATATCGAGACATACAACCAATACGCATTACACTCTTTCATATCACTGAGCATAGCTTTTTTCTCATTGATTTACTTGAAAATAGGCAATACTGTAAATTGGGGGCAGAGCAGTGGTCACATGGCATCTCCATGGAGGAGAGGCTGAAGACAGTCTGATAAGCAAGTAGGGTTTGAAGTTGTATCTGCTGCAGGAGATGGGGAAAATTTTGATTTGGGAAAGAGATTATTGATGGTGGTGGTAGGGGGTGCTACACTGCTCATAAAATGCTGCTTTTGTTGGTTTTTATATATCGGGATTATGAATAAGACTTCATGGGAAATGATTTGTACGCTCAAAAAAATTTGTGAGAGGTGGGGGCATGTA